TCTCGTTGAAGTGTGCCGTTCGAATTTAGTTTTTGTGAAGGAAAGACCAGAGTCTCACACGCCATTGTAGCAAACAAACGAGTAAACTCTCACAACTTCAAAGTAAAAAAATTGAATTTACTCACAATTACTTTCCTCGCCGTTTACTTAATGAACAGAGGTAAATATTCGTACATGAATGAATGGTCGATGAGAGTGAATAATACTTTCCGTTAGATTATTGACTGATTTTGAAGAAAACATTGTCGTGACAGCCCTTGCCAAACTAGTTCTGTTGGTTTTCAAATGTTCCTACGCTTTTTTTTTCTTGCGCGTTCTTTAATTGACAGGTGTCAGATTGTGACAGATACTTGTAAAAATAATGTTTCAAAGTTTGTTTGGAAGCCTTTTAAATCACCTTTATCGTTACGGAAATGAAAATGTTTCGCTGAGGCATCTCTCTTTAATTTGCATCACCTCTATTTTAACTACCATTTACTCACTCAAAAATTGTTCAGTTTATGGAAGATCTTGCCGTATTTACAGCCCTAAATCATTCGAGTTCTTTCGGAAAGAATTTCGTCAAGTTTAAAAACAATAAATATGTTATTTACCGGCTAAGGGTCGGTCCGTATGGTGAAAAACTGTGACCTCGGTCTTGAAAATGCTGCCCTCGGCCTACGGCCTCGGGCAGTATTTTCAAGAACTCGATCACAGTTTTTCACCATACGGACCTCCCAGCCGGCAAATAACATATATATATCTCACCTTTCTAGAAAGTTACATAAAAGACTCTCGGTTTGAACGAACTGGTGTACACAATCAATCTGCCGTAATGTTGGCTTCCATGAAAATTATACTCAGCAGTTTTTATGTAACCGTGGTGTAAAGTTGTTTATTTGCACAACGAAGGTCTTGCGATATCTCTGTATTTTTCATAACTATCGTCATCATTATTTTCGTATTTAGTTTCTTATATTTTTGGTTCTGTTCTTTTTTTTTTGTTGTCTCAGGTTTTGAGCTGGGCGGTGAGGTTTGCGAGAAGGCTAAATGTAGCTCGAGATGTAAAAATCATGGCGATCATTGTAATCTGCTCTGGAATTGCAGCAGTGTTAATTATAATTGTTCTATGAACTGCGAGGGGAAAGGGTGTAAACAGACGTGCAATACTGGAGTAGAAGTATGTGAAATGAATCTAGAGTGTAAAGGCGACGATTGTGACCAAACCTGCATGGCTAACACGTGTAAACTGAACTGCAGCGGGAAAAATTGTAAAAAACAGAGGTGCCTTAAAGAAGGCGGACTTGCATGTGAAATGGATCTAGAATGTAATGGTCAGGATTGTGAACAAATCTGCAACGCTCATAAATGTAACCTGAACTGCAGCGGGAGAAGTTGTAAAAAACAAAAGTGCGAAGGTAAAGGAGATGTATGCGAAATGCATCTAGAATGTAACAACCAGGATTGTGAACAAATCTGCGAAGCTAAAAAATGTAACCTGACCTGCAGCGGGAAAAAATGTAAAACGCAAAATTGCACAAAAAACGCAGAATGCAATAAGCGATGGAATGCTAACGATTGTACACAGATGTTTGATGGTCACTCCATCACCTCAGATTCATACATGTCGAATATTGTGACATCTATTGGGGCTTCAACGATTCGAGTGTTCACGACTAAAATTTCAACAGGAGATGAAACAGAAGCTTACAGTGAGTACAATAATAGTTTGAATACTTAAGACAATCTTTTTTGCTTTACAAAGAAAGTGTTTAATATTCTAAAAAAAGAAATGGAAAATATTTTATTTCAAAATTCGTTGCGCCCTACCAAAATATCAATTTTATTTTGACAATTCAATTTTCTTCAACATTCAGCTTTGTTGCAATCAATGTCGCAGTCACCTTTATCATTAATCTCACCTTCACCATTACTATCATCTTCATCACACTCACCATCAGCAGCAATATTACCAGCAGAGGCATCAGCATCTCCATCAACACTATTACTATCATCATCAAAGCCAGCAGCAACGTCAGCATCAGCATCAGCTTCAGGATCATCATCAAACGCATCATCGGAAGCAATATCAACAGCAAGGGCATCTGCATCGTCATCAGCACTATCACCATCATCATCAAAGCCAACAGCAACATCAGCATTAGGATTATCATTAGCAGCATCGTCGCAAGCAATATCAACAGCAGCAGCACTATCATCATTACAGTTATCATCATCGGAAACATCGACAGCAGTATCATCATCGTCTCCGTCTCTACGGACACCTCTGTCATAGACACGGGGAGTAATTAAGAATCTGGTAGGCAAAGTATTTCTCTCAAGCTTTTTATTTACAACATCGTTGTTCTCAAGGTTATTTTCTTCTTTATCTCAGGCAAATGATTCTGTTTCCAAACTAAAAGGAGAAGAAATCAGTAGAATCATGTCCTTGATGGTATGAATTTACTACTCGCTTATCTTCTGTGATTAAGCCACCAAGTTTATATGAAATACGCAATAATTAGAAAGAATGACCGGTGCAATGCAACATTCTCTAAGCTTGAAAAAAGCTTTGAGTTCATTCAAACAAGAGCAAACAAAACTATACCATTATCGCCATCGTCATCATTATCATTATCATTATTATAGTTATTATAACGTTATCATCTTCACTATCGTTACTATTATCGTTTCTAAGACATGAACTGGCATGAATGAAACAATTGTTTCCCGACCAACTCCAACTCCTTGAACGAGTTCTTGGATACTTCTTTAACTTGTGCACATGCCACACACCATTTGGCTATCTTTCTGGGTTTTTTTTCATTGATCCATTTGTGGTCTAGTTTATTTCTGTATCAATTTTTTTCTTATAATCTAACCAGGAGTAGACGAAATACCTTTACCTCTAACTGTTTTGTTAAAATGTCCGACTGCGATCAAGGGTTCTGCGGTTCAATACTAATGACAGTCAAATATGTTGTTTGACTGACACGGATCCAAATTTCTAGCATCTTACATTAACAGATATATTTAATGTTATTACAGTAGGCTATACGGATTTTTGAATACTTCATCACCAGTATCCAAATCCTCCAAAAATCTCTTACCTAAAAAGAAATCGAAATAATGAGAAATTCCATCCTCAAGGTGGCAGTCGCCTTGGAGCTATTCGCCCTTAATTATGGCAAACACCAAATGATTGGAGCGAATTCTTCAGTGGAGATAAACAGCCGAAAACTAGGTGAGTCAGAGCATGATCAATTCTGCGGATTTGAAGTAATCCACTTCTTGTTTATCGACTGACACAATGAGCAATGACTTGATAGCTGATTTGATTATTTAACTTTTTTTAAAGGAACCTGTCGATCAGTGCTGTAGCCGGATCAAGCCGGTTCATCCCTCCCATTGACCATTTATTTTTATCAATCATAGTGATTATAGACGATTATCTAGGTCATTAGTATGTTGAAAAGCGTTAAAACCTCAACTTTCCGATGCCTTGATGATTTATAGAGGATTTTGCTTTTTAGAAGATTATGTAAGGAATA